ACAGCCTTTGGAATTGCCTGCAGTCAGGCCTGAAAAATCACATACGGGTTTTTAACCAGGAACAGGTCTCCTCAGTTATGAAGATAACTAGTAATAAAACTAAAAGCTGTTATTTATTTAGGTAGAAAAGGAGACATATACCAGTTACCACTATATAAACTTTCTGTGAGCAGCAACCTTGCTGTATGTTCATTTTTGTATTCCCAGACCTAGCCCAGCATATAGTAGATACTCAGAAACATTAATGAATTAATTGATGAACATTGTTTAATGAACAACATATTATACCTTAAAAATGGGCAAATACCAGGCCAATGGCAACAAAGGACAAACGGGTTTCATAATTAATATAAGATGGACTTAAAGGCAAAGAAGCATTTAAGAGTCATAGAAAGTTACTTTAGAATGATTATTAGTGCAATCCTTAACAAAGATTTAATTCTCATGACTGTTCATGTACAAAATAACATCAGAGTTCACAGGGCAGGAAATAGTAGGAAATACTCAGCAAGTTTTATTGAATACCTACTATATGTCACAAAATAGGCAAACCATTTGTCATGAATATAAACAGTAAGTCTTAGTAAAATATGACCACATATGTCAGAAGCACATTAAAAGAATAATATAGCCCTGGCCGGTTTGGCTCAGCGGTTAGAGCGTCGGCCTGCGGTCCTGAGAGACCCGGGTTCGGTTCCCGCTAAGGGCACGTACTTTGGTTGCAGTTTGTCCCCGACCCTGGTTGGTCGTGCGGGTGGCAGCCACTCGATGTGTCCCTTCACGTCGATGTTTCTATCTCTCTCTTCCTCTCTCTCCCTCCCGCTCTGTCTGAACAAAAAATGGAAAAATGTCCTCGGGTGAGGATTAAAAAAAAAAAAAAAGAATAATATAGCATCACCTAAATGGATTTTGTTTTGAGAATATAAAAGTAGTTTAGTATTTAGAAATTCTATTAATATTATTGAACAACTTAATAACCGGAAAGAGCAAAACTGTATGTTAGAAAACATTTGACAAAATACAGTTTCTTCTGGTTATTGTTAATCTTTCTTAGCAAAATTAGAACAAGTGAAGATTACCACAAGACATATATGACACTGGTTTTATTTGTGCACATGCACATGTGTTTATATTTGTGTTTAAACACATACACACACACATGTACATATCTCCAAATCCAGTGGCGTGTTAAATGATAAATCTTTAAAAGAGCATTCTCATTAAAATAATGAATAAGACAAGGATTTGCACTATTAATATTGTTGTGGATATTAGCTAGTGCACTTAGACAAGAGAAGTAGTATATAAATATTAAGGAGGATTCCAAAGAATAATTGGATCTGCTTGGAAAACTCAAAATGCATTGTGCTAAAAGTAGTACAAGGAACTATTAGTGTATTTAATAGTTAACTAAAAATAGTATGAGGAACAATTGGTGCATTAATAAGGAGGCTTAGTCAGAAAGGCAAGTACCATATGATTTCACTTATATGTGGAATCTAATGAAAAAATAAACTAAGAAACAGAGTGGAGATAGACTCATGGATACAGAGAACAGACTAACAGCAGTCAGAGCGGAGAGAGCATGAGGCTGGGTGAGAAGGGTGAATGGATTAAGCAAAGAAAAAAAAGAAAGACAGACTCATGGACACAGACAACAGTATGGTGACTGCTAGAGGGAAGGGGTCGGGGGAGTGGAAGAAGGCGAAGGGGGATACATGGTGATGGAAGGAGACTTTACTTGGGCTGATAAACACACAGTTGGTTGAAGCATCATCCCATATACCAAAGTGTTGTGAGTTTGTTTCCCAGTCAGGGACATACCTAGGTTGTGGATTCAATCCCTGGTCTGGATGCATATGGGAAGCAACTGATCAATATTTCTCACATCGATGTTTTTCACTCTCTCTCTCCCTTCCTCTCACTCTCTAAAATCAATTAAAATATCCTGGGGTGAGGATTAAAAAGAAAATGTCAAATTACAGTTGACCCTTGAACAGCATGGGAGTCAGGACCCCCATGCCTCAAAAATCCACATTTAGCTTTTTTCTCCCATAGTTCCCCATTCTGTTTTGGCTGCCACAATCAGACAGCACAATGACCCTTTTTTCTTACATCTGTACTAGAACCTCAGCAGGAGAGTAATTGCTCTAGGTCTGTCAAATACATGCATCACGTACAACTTTTAACTCTCAAAAAATTAATGTCTCTCAGTACCTGTGTGGGATTAGTTCCAGGACCCCACTGTGTATACCCAAATTCCTAGATGCTTAAATGCCCTATATAAAATGGCATAGATCAGCAATTTTCAACTGGTGTGCTGCATGCAGCACAGGGGGGTGCCACAAGAATTTTTAAATATGCAATACCTAACTGTTTAGTCAGGGGCACTGACCTCTTTTCCCTTAGATTGTCAAATTTAAAAAAATGACAACAGCCAACACAACAATAGCTATCTGATGTGAATGAATCAAAATTATTACTTTTTTTCTCAGATTAGCAAAAGTATATTTTTGGATGGGCTGCAGAATTTTAGTAATTAGTTTATGTGTGCCATGAGATGAAAAAGGTTGAAAATAGCTGGCATAGAATAATACTTATGGTCAGCCCTCCACATTTATTTTTAAAAATCCATGGATGAGTGGACCCATGCAGTTCATACCCACGTTATTCAAGGGTTAACTGTATTAAGATAATTTGTGCCCCTGGCTGGTGTGGCTCAGTGGTTGAGCATCAACCCATGCATGCACCAAGAGGTCGCCGGTTTGATTCCCGGCCAGGGCACATGCCCAGGTTGTGGGCCAAATCCCCAGTGGGGGGCAAGCAGGAGGTGGCTAATCAATGTTTCTCTCTCTCTCTCTCTCTCTCTCTCCCTCTCCCTTCCTCTCTGTCTGAAGTCAATAAAGAACAGAAAAGATAATTTGTGTATCTCTATAACTTGAATCCCAATGCATTTATTGACCTAGAATGCCAGGTTAAATAAAATTGTGAGTAGTGTGATTATTTTCTACATAACTGTTCTATCATTTGGATTGTACTATAAAAAATTCACTATGTGTTTTCAAGATTCCTTTAAAATTGTAATTTCTCATGTCTAGCCATATTGAAGGCATTAACAGTTTCCTTCCTTTAGATTCTAGACATAGGATGCTCCTGATGTAGAAGATTGTTGTTTTATTTTTACTTCAGTTTTAGGAATGTAGCTTTAATCAATCCACATTTCAGTTGTGAAATCAGTAAGGTGCGTTTCACATGGCCCTGTGCTAACAGGCCATTTAGCTTGAGTGTGATGTACTAATTGTGTTTTCTAAAAAATGATTCATTTGTGATTTTCAGATTGTTTATTTATTTAGAAATAAAGGGAACTGAACCCAGGACTCTCCGGTCCACAGACTGATGCTCCATCTGCTGAGCCAAACTGGCCAGGGCCAGATTGTTTTCTTTAGAACCCAGTGTTCCAGAGGTGCCCTAGGAACTTTTCAACATTTAATTCCAATTTCATTTTGCATAGATATCTTGAACCACTTAAAAGCCAGTGAGCTAAAAATGATAGACGTGTACATTTAAACTTTTATTTATTTATTTATTTTATTTTATTTTTTATGTCCTCACCCAAGGACATTTTTCCATTTTTTGTTCAGATAGAGTGGGAGGGAGAGAGAGGAAGGGGAGAGAGAGAAACATCTACATGAAAGGAACACATCAAGTGGTTGCCACCCACACGACCAACCAGGGCCGGGGACAAACTGCAACCAAGGTACACGCCCTTAGCAGGAACCGAACCTGGGTCTCTCTGGACCGCAGGCCCGACGCTCTAACCTCTGAGCCAAACTGGCCAGGGCTACATTTAAATTTTTAATACAATAGAGACAACTAATGTGTCCCCCAGGTTAATTCAGTCTTTACAGAACTCAGAAAAAAGCTTTTCCTACTTTATTAATGTACTTAAACTTCTTAGAAGTGTGTCATAGTTAGGAACATTGTGTCTGGGCTTGTTGCTTTAACTGTCTGGTGAAGACTGCACGCTGAGAGTGCTTCCTGAGAGTGGCAAGCCCGTGACTGTGTTCCTCTGTGTTTATCTTCTGATTTATGAAACAGGAGCAAAGTAGCACATTTTCCAACTACTTAGACCAGTAAGGATTTTTTTGATTAATCTTATCTACAATTCTTTGGAAGTTCTTTGACTACGCACAACTATGAAACAATATAATAATTGTGCATAACTGAAAAACAGAACCTTTTTCCATTTGGTGGTATATTAACATAGACATACATGAAAGGGATGGTGACTGGTCAGTACATCACATTTCCTAAATAAAAAAACATTGTTGCCTTGGCCGCTTTGGCTCAGCGGTTAGAGCGTCGGCCTGCGGTCCTGAGAGACCCAGGTTCGGTTCCCGCTAAGGGCACGTACCTCGGTTGCAGTTTGTCCCCGGCCCTGGTCGGTTGTGCGGGTGGCAGCCACTCGATGTGTCCCTTTCACATCGATGTTTCTCTCTCTCTCTCTCTCTCTCTCTCTGTTCCTCTCTCTCCCCCCCACTCTACCTGAAGAAAAAATGGAAAAATGTCCTCGGGTGAGGATAAAAAAACAACAACATTGTTAGGTGTCTAAAAATGTCTTAGACCCTAGGCTGAAAATCATTAGTTATATGTTCTCCATGTTTGTCCTGGAAAACAAAAGTGTTAGACTTGCGGTGTCATGAAGGGAAGACGTGCGCAGGGTCCAGGGAAGGAGTGTCCCAGCTCTGCTTTGCCGGCTCTGGGCCTGGGGGAGTCACTTCGTTTTCCACGGCTGTGGTTCCTTCACAAGATTGCTTTGGACAGTGACTTTAACTGAAGTTGATTTGAAAAGTTGTATTGTGTTATAAAAACTTTTAGATGTTGTAAATAAAACTATTAACTGGTATAATTTCTGATATATTTAGTTGTAATTAGCATTTTTACTCCTTTCCCATTCTATACATGTTTTTACATTTCCCCCCCAATTGTTCATTCCTTAGGGCATTACATTAGAAGAGTTTGACAGATTATCTTTTAATATGATTTTAATGAGCCCTCCCTGTCAGCCATTTACAAGGTATGTATCATAAATATTTCTCGGTTGCGAAAGAGTACTTTTGAAGAACTCATTAAATCAAATCATACCATGGTTTTGAGCATGGACACTTTGAAGCTCATTAGCTGCATTTTCATATTTTTGAAATTTTTCATAAATAATTTCTTTTATCTACTCATATTTATAATCCAGTCTTAATTATAAAGGAAATAGCAATCACTGACACATGAGCAAAGTGATTTGGTCAGTAGTAGATATACAGTGACTAGACAGGACCTCTTTTACACCTAAGAAGATACAGTCATGGACCGTTTAACAATGGGGATATGTTTGGAGAAATGTGTGGCTAGACAATTTTATTATTGCACAAACATCACAGGGTGTACCTACACAAACGTAAATGGTACAGCCTGCTACACACCTAGGCTACATGATGTGGCCTATAGCTCCCAGGCTACAAACCTGTACAGCATGTTACTGCACTGAATACTGTAGAAAATTGTAACACAATGCTAAGTATTTATGTATCTAAACAGAGAAAATGTACAGTGAAAATATGGTATAAGAGATGAAAAATGGTTCAGCTGTATTGGGTATTTACCATGAATGGAACTTGCAGGACAGGAAGTTGCTCTGGATGACTCCTTTGAGTGAGTGCCGAGTGAAAGTGAAGGCCTGGGACATGACTGTACATACTGTAGGCTTTATACACACTGTCCACTAAGGCTGCACTAAATTTCTAAGACAACATGAGATTAAATCAAACAAGACAAAATGAGGCAATCAAGAGACATGGTGAAAATGATATATATGTCTGTTGCCAGTGTAACCTGGCACACTGTTTTACAGCAACTTATTTTAATCAATAGAAAGAGGACACTCTAAGATAATGATAAAAAGTATAGTATAGTAAATACATAAACCATTATTTAAGCAACATAGTTGATTATTAGATTATTATCATTATCAAGTACTATACATAATTATTTGTGCTGTGCTTTCATAGGACTGACAGCAGAGCAGGTTCATTTATGCCTGTATCACCACAGACACGTGAATAATGCATTGCACTACATGGCGTTATTGCACTACAGGCTACAATGTCCCTAGGCAATAGGAAGTTTTCAGCTCCATTATATAGTCTTACAATGATGGCAGCAGTAACTGGTTCTGTAGCACTGATATCATTTAGAATTGCTGAAAGGAAAGGGCCAGAATTGAGAAGAACCAGGATTTCTGAGGAATCTGGTCAAGTCTGCTCTAATCTCCCGTCTGACCTCGGGTCCTCTGATGGTTTTGGCCCTGCTGTCAGGTATGAATGAGGAAACTGATCCATGATATTAAGTTACTCATTTAAACCTATTAAGCTAGTAAGTTGCAAGGTCCTCTGTTTGCACACATGAGGCCCAATCCAAGTCTTCCTTTGTGCTTCATAATTTGAATCTCTATTTTTTTTTTTAATTTTTCAATTACAGTTGACATTCAGTATTATTTTACATTAGTTTCAGGTATACAGCATAGTGATCAGTTAATTATATTGACTTTTATTTGTAAAAAATAACTGCTAGTCCAGATACTGCCTATTTATGTGACCTGTTTTGACCTACTTAGTGTAACCAAGTTGCAATTCCTGCTTGTAGAATCAAGCCTTCAGCTTGTTTCTCTTTTTTACATTGGACAAGACTGTCTTAGTCTTACCTACTACTTGGATTGTTTAGGTGGTGATAAGTCATCAGTGCCATCAGCTCTACTTCACCACCCTATCCAACCAGCTCATTCATTGGAGCTTTTGTTGTGTCATCTAGGACAGAGCAAACAGTGAAATTGTGTGTGTGTGTGCGTGTGTGTGTGTATCTTTCCTAATCCAAGTTATTTTAAGAGGGTAGTTGATTTTATTCTTCGTTGACTTCATGTTGTTCTTTGCCTCATGTAAGTTATTTGGCATATTGTTTTGTAAAAGTAATTTTTAAGTGTGTTTATTTTTTAAGTGTGGCTTTTTAAAAAAATTAAATGAGTAAATGCATTTTGTTCTCTGTAACAACAAAGATGATCATATTTTCAGTGAAGACCAACTGGAAATTCATTTTTAAAAATTTTTTAAGTGATTTGATATTTTTACATAAGATTCTTAATAAACTTATTTGTGCTTTCTCAATCCCTTTAGAATTGGTGTACAAGGTGATGTGACTGATCCAAGGACAAATAGCTTCTTATATATTCTAGATATTCTCCCAAGGTAAAACCTTAGATTCCTGTAAAATCTTACCTTAAATGTAAAACTTTGGAACTGGAAGAATATGATGTTGGTTTTTTTATAGAGATTAGAAGTTTATACATGCTGCTTATAGATACTGTGCATGTCATTTATCTTCTTCTAGTATGACTAATAGAATAACTGCAAATGTTTGCTGATTCCATAGTTGCCACTACAGTGACTGATGGGGAATTACAGCCTAGTAGCTAAATTCTATTGCCTCTGCTCATAATACTAATGCAGATGAAGCTTATGTTAGTGAATGCTATTGCCCATGGCCTGGAAGCCTGTGCTAGCCCTGTGTACATGGCAGCCCTTTGAGCTGCAGTTCAGAGGCTCTGTGTGAACCCATGTTTTGAGATAAACTCAATGGGAATTAACATTTCAGATGTTAACTTTATCAGGTGTACCACGATTATGGGAGAAAATAAAATGAGTTGTCTTCATCCCTTATAAAATTCTTTTATAAAAAAAGAGAGTTCAGAAAATTACTTACCTTCTTTTTTCCACATGTAAGGGATGTCTTTATTTCTTTCTTCATAGCAGTGAGATTTTTTTGAATTCCATTTGTTTTGTTTTTGTATTTTTTTTTTTAGATTACAAAAATTACCGAAGTATATTATTCTAGAAAATGTTAAAGGTTTTGAAGTATCTTCTACAAGGTAAAACATGTATTGTCTTGTGTTCATCTTAGACATAGTATATTTTATAGTAGGAGCTATTGTGAAATAAAGATCTTAAAAATAAACACGTACATTCTGACATTTTATATATGTTATATATTTTATTCATTAATACTGATTTTGGCCAATTAATAATGTAAAGCCTCACAAGGTTAAGATAAACTGATTCTCTCTGTTCTGATGTTTGAATTTTTCCAGATTTAGCAATTTTGATGAGAAGGGTATTTCTCATTTTAGCTGCTTATATTGGTACCTATTTCTTTAGAAGTAGAAATGTTTTCAGTAAGAATTGTCCCTTAAGACCCATCCATGTTGTTGCAAATGACAGTATGTTATCTTTTCTTGTGACTGAGCAGTGTTCCATTTTATATATGTACCACATCTTCTTTATCCAATCATCTGTTGAAGAATCATGAGAATATCATGTTAAGCCAAATAAGTCAGACAGAAAAAGTTAAGAACCATATGATTTCACTCATATGTGGGATATAAAACTGAAAGCAACAAATGAACAGACAAGAAAAGCAAACAAATAAGAACTCATAGACACAGACAACAGTATGGTGGTTACCAGAAGGGGGTGTGGTAAAGGGCAAAGGGGGCCAAATATGTGGTGACAGAAGGAGGCTTGACTGTGGGTGGTGGGCACACAATGCAATCGTATGGTATAGAATTGTACACTTGAAACCTATATAATTTTATTAACAAATGTCACCGCAATAAATTTAATTAAGAAAGAAAAAAAAAAAAGAATTGGTCCTGTGAACAGGCTTTTTCTGTCATTCAGTTAGAAGAAGCAAGCCCAGTAAGGGGCCCTTTCAGATGGTAGCCCAGCTGGAGAGAAAGCATGCACATTTTTTATTTTGCTGCTGTCTTTAACAGTGTTTCCTCATCTGATTTACTACAGATAATTCCAGTTCCCATAGCAAATTTATCATCAGTAGATTAGCAATTCTGTCTCTCACATGTTTGTGTAAATTATCTGATAGCTTTATAATAAAAATTATCTTTTTTTTTTTTTTTGAGAAATATAATTTCTCAAGTACTGTACTTAATAAAGACCTAAGATTATTCTCCTTCTAAACAACTTGATGGAGTTACAGTTTTCACTTAAAATGAAGTTTTATGTATAATATTTTATATAAGAACCTCATTTCCAATTTTAAGTTGAAAGCTTTTCTTTTTTCTTTTACTTTTGTCTTTTCAGAGACCTGTTAATAAAAACAATAGAAAACTGTGGCTTTCAGTACCAAGAATTCCTATTATCACCAACCTCTGTAGGTACCGCAATTATAAACTCTTATATAAATTTTCTCAAAGGGAATTTGAATCAGTAAGAAGAATGGACCTATTTCGATAATATTATAGGTAAATCTTAAAATTGCTTCAGACATGGGTTTTACATTCATTTATACATATTTTATGAAAAATACATACCTTGAAGCTCAGAGAGAATATATTTTTCTTTCTACACAGAAAAAAAATGATAGTATGTTTTGAAAATATGTGACATATGGTATTTCCAACCTATGTATGCTGTATTGTAGTAATGCTTCAAAATAATCCAAAATTAAAGGAACATATGATAATTTTTTAATTCCTTTTTTGGGGGGCATACCATTAAAATGCAAACATTGCTTCTATTTCATGGGTAAGAAATTGATTATAAAAATTTGGCAGATCTTTGCTATTACAAGTGTCACTATTTTCCTTTTGTCTTTCTGTTTGTTAGCCTATTGCTATCTTTTTCTATTTTATAGTTCTTTGCCCTAAAATCAAAAGAAAACGCATTTCAAAAATTAGATGTCCATGTTTTTGTCTTCATTTTTGTTGTTATTGAACTTAAGTATATCCTAAGACTGCAAAGCAAGTACATTAAAAAAAACAACAGAAAAAAACAACTTATCATTCACAGTGACTGCTTTATAGGATCAGAGTTTATGGTCAAGTATATATTCAATTCATATTGCAAGGGGGAAAAATAGATGCTATAGATAATAAGGGGATTGTAACCTCTATGCATCTTACTCATTTCAGTTGTTCATTTATTCAACAAATCTTTATTGTGTGAACACTTACTTTGCACATGGAACCGTCTTTCATGGAGTGTATAATCTAATGTTATACTTTAACACCGATAAAAAAAATTTGATGTCCAACTGTGGAAATTGGCAATGCATCTGATTTCTAATTTTATTTAATATGTAGTGCCTTTTAACTTTAAAATTCAATGAATCCTGTTTTTTTAATAAAATGAGGTAATAAATAGCCAAGAATAGCTATATTTTATTTATTTTATAGTTACTGTATTATCAATAATGAATATATAAATGTCAGTATAACTTCTTACCTGAGAAATATAAAATGAAAGTGACTCATAGACATATGCTTTATCAGGTTCAATCTTTACTTCATTCAGAATAAAAGTACAAAGCAGCAAGTTAAAGGGTTTAAGAATTTGCTCAAAGTAGTCTTCTGCAACTCAGTAATTTTTTATGGCAGAGGCTAAATGTATACCTTTATGAGTTCCCTTACTAGGTGCTAACAATTGATACAGATCTCTCTAATTTTCAGCTTGGCATTCCAAATTCAAGGCTACGGTATTTCCTTACTGCAAAGCTTCAGTCAGAACCATTGCCTTTTCAAGCCCCTGGTCAGGTATTATTGTTGTTGTTATCATCATCATGATTAGTTATGCAATGTAAATGTATCTCAGTCTGCTCATTTATTTCAAGAATCACTTTGTGGAGGTTTATATGTCTCTTATTGAGCCTATACTACAGACCATGCCCCAGGTCTATCCCTTAGGCCTTTTCTTCTCCTGGTGCTACTTTTATTGCTTTAATCAAAACAAAAATTTTTCTTTTACCATTAGAAAAAAAATGAGTTATGCCCTGGCCAGTTTGGCTCGGCGGTTAGAGCATCGGCCTGCGGTCCAGAGAGACCTGGGTTCGGTTCCCGCTAAGGGCACGTACCTCAGTTGCAGTTTGTCCCCGGCCCTGGTTGGTCGTGCGGGTGGCAGCCACTCGATGTGTCCCTTTCACATAGATGTTTCTCTCTCTCTCTCTCCCTCCCGCTATATCTGAACAAAAAAAATGGAAAAAGATGCCCCCTCGTGTGAGGATAAAAAATAAATAAATATTTTTAAAAAGTTAAAAGAAATTACAATTATTACTGTTACCTTCCTTTTCCCTCTGTAATTTACCTTCTGACCACTGAGTAGTTTGCATTAATCATATTTTCCCCAACAAAATCTATTGGTTACATTTTCAATGAAGTCAATGCTATTTAGCCTTAATTGATTAAAATGTAGTAATGAATAGTACCTATTAAAATAAAATGCTCAGTTGCTATAGATAGAATACCTAATTTTGCAAGTAGTTGTACATGCTTCTGTCAGCAGTTGGCCTGAATAATAGTTTCAGTGGTTCAGTGAAGCCGTCCACAATCATCACAGGTAAGAAGAACTCAAAAGTCATGTTCTACTAACAGGGGGTCACTAGTGTTATTTTAATCGCCTATACTACAATACCAATACATCTCCTGTCCCATGGTGGCAATTCCCAAAAGAATGTATAAAGTATATTAACAAAAACTTCATCATTAAAAATCCTTGGAACCTTTTTTTTTTTTTTTTTTTTAACAGAACAGGACTTTATACATAGTTACAAGTTTTTCCTATGGGACTCGGGAGTAGAAATAACCTTTCAGGGTGAAAATTGCTTTTCTTTTTTCAGTTACTACTTTTCCTTTAGATCATAGGTATATTGCAGTTTTTCTTCTTTGATGAAAGGGATGACAAACTTTGATTTAAAGCATATTTTCTAGAAATATTAATGTTGCTTTTTAAACTTTTTTCAGATATCATACTCTATGTTTATTCAACATACTTCCCGTTACTTTGTTGAATGTTTTTATTAATAAGCACAGAAAGCAGTAACTCCATAAAATAAATAATCTGCAGCCAGATGACACTATAGCTGTATGAAGAATAACTTGTAATAACTTATGTAAATACAAATAAATCACAGTTTTTATCCTTTTAATGACAACTTTATAAACGCTAAAAGAGTTTTTGCATAATGTTGACTGGACATTATTGATTTCTTTTAGTTTTAATAAAGCTTTGGACAATTTGTATATTTTTGCTTAATGCCAGGTATTGATGGAGTTTCCCCAGATTGAATCTGAACATCCTCAAAAATATGCAGTAGATGCAGAAAATAAAATTGAAGGAAAGAAAATTGAACCAAATGTTTGCTTTGATAGCAGCAGACAGTGTTCTGGAAAAGAAGCCATTCTTTTTAAGCTTGAAACTGCAGAAGAAATTGACCGGAAACATCAACAGGACAGTGATCTCTCTGTGCAAATGCTGAAAGATTTTCTTGAAGATGACGCTGACATGAATCAGTACTTTCTACCACCAAAGCCATTGCTGCGATACGCTCTTTTGTTAGACATTGTTAAGCCCACTTGCAGAAGGTCCATGTGCTTTACAAAAGGGTAGGTGTTAAAGAGACAATTCATGGTATATCCAAAATAACCAGGTTGTTATACCTATTGCTTCTTTTAGTTCTTCTTAAAACGAGGAGCATTTTATAAAATGTTTCTGTGGGAATGATTTTTTTTTTTTTTGCCCTTAATTGGCTGCTTTCATGAGTGAAAATTCCTTCTGGCAGAACTATGTGCACAGTCCACAAAAGTGCTCATAAAGGATGACGCCATTTGTTTAGTGACTAATTACCCATGGTGGACACACGGTTTCTGTAGATGGTGAATTGCTCTTTTTTCAGCACTTTTCTTTTCATGGTACATCAGACCTCAGAAAATTTTGTCTACTCTCATGATCAATATATAAGAAGAAATTAAGTCTTAGGATCAAAATGTAAAATGGAATCATCTGGCTCATGTTAGAATACATTTTAAATTTTATTCAGTTTTTTAAATAAGCAATATGTTTTCATGGTTCAAAATGCAAAACGTACTAACATTTGAAGACTCCCTTCCACGCTGTCTCTTGGCCATTCAGTTTCCCTCTCCACATGCAACCAGTGGTTTCAGCTTACGGTCTAATCTTCCAGAGGTATTATGTGGGAGGGTGTATTTAAACATACATCTAGATTTTTGACCCTACTTTAAGTGTCAACATATTATATCTATTATGTGCCTTTTTTATTGCATAACATAAATTGGATATTATTGCATATGAGTACATAAAGAACTTTTTGTTCTCATGGTATCGATATATCATAATTTCTGTGGGTTATTTCTTGAATATTAATATATTTTTTATCAATTTTTAAAACCTAGGAAGAATGTAAAAATTAGGTCTTTTCAGAAAATGTAAAAAGACCCCTGACTCGGCTTTGTTAATGCCATTTAACTTCATTTGATAAGTAGTTGTGTGATTTGCCACATCAAGCCTTCTCTTTTTACCTACTAACTAGCTGTCTTGCGCAAGACACTATGTTCCTGATATAATCATACCAGACTCATTCTGATTTTATTGTATTTTGCTCCTGTACTTCCAAGGGAATGGATTTATTGCCTTTCGTTACCTTAAAAGACTCCACTCAGTTCTTTTCTATTTCCTAGTTCAATAGGTTCTTTTTAGGATTCTAATAAGACAAGACTTACCAATTTTATAATAAAAAACAACCTTGATTTTTTTTTTTGGTAATTATAAAGATGATATAAAAGAAGCCTACTATAAACGTGTCTTTTAGTGTAGATAATATAAACATACATATATAATGATATATGAGAAAACAATTTGAAAACAGTTTTTTCCTGGTGTGACTTTACTTATTTAACTTATATTTTATATAGATCTATTATGAAAAATAATAATGATAATATATTGAACACCAGCTTGGCAATGATCTTAGGGGCAGAAGCATTGCTAATACTTTGCAGTGGTCTCACCGTTGCATGAAAAGAGTAAAATCGTACTGTCACAGGAAGAGGCAGACGCACCTTCAGTGCCCGTTCGCCACGGTGTGGGAGAGGAGGGCCTTGCGTTCATGAGAAGAAATGTGGGTCTGGCATTATGAAAAAGAGCAGCAATTTATTTTCACCTACGTAACATTTGGTTTAAAGTGGAAAGGATGCAAATACTGAATGGTATTTGTATACAAAGTTGTAACAAGTTCATACTAGTGATGAACATTTTAAAATGACAATACAAAGAAATGACAATTGGTATTACATAATTCAAAATAGTATTTACATAACTCAAAAAATATGACAAATTTAGTGTCTGAGAATTTTAAATAAAATGATCTATATCCCATGCCCAGTAATTTTTAAATTATTAAGCATATTTATGTGATGATACTCAGAAAATTTCAGAAGGATATAACTTTAAGAAATTTTGCATTAACAAATTCCTTAGATGCTGTATAATATTTGTGTTAACTTTTCAGTTATGGAAGGTACATAGAAGGGACAGGATCCGTGCTACAGACCACAGAGGATGTGCAGGTACGATGCATCTTTAGAACTAAAATATTTGAAAATTATTTAAAATGTATGTTTAATACTTAAAATTTAAGAATGTCAAACTAATTTTACTTGTTCTATTGGGAATGAATACACACACACACATATATATATATAATCCATTCATATTTATATTCAGATGTAGTAATTCTTTACTATAGAAAATTTTCTGTTGAATAAGTGTATGTACAAAGAATATTTATGCTTCTATTTTCTTTTTATTCTTCTGTATTTTCCCCCCTTTATTGATTTTGGAGAGAGAGGAAGTGAGAGGGAGAGAGAGATAGAAGCATTGATGTGAGAGAACATTGACTAGCCGCCTCCTGCATGCCCCCCACTGGGGATCGGGCCCACAACCTGGTGATGTGCCCTGACCAGCAATCGAACCGGCGACCTCTTGGTGCAGGGTCAACACTCAACCACTGAGCCACACAGGCCAGACCCATCTGTATTTTTAATTCCATAAAAAGTAATTGACATGCAGTGAAGAGTAGTTAATTTCTCTAAAATTATGCACAAATATCTTAATATTAGAGACTTCCTTTGGAGCACATACTCTAAAACTGACTTTTAGGGAAATAAATCTATGTTTTTAGCAAAGCATTTTATTAATAGTTCAGTTATAAACTCTCTGGTATCATGATTGCATATACGCTTGATATATTGCAAGGTTTATACTTTTAAATAAGTTTGAAATGAAATTACATTATCTTCTTTTATACTGATTTAAACTCTTACTATTAATAAAATGTACTCATGGTAAAAATCCTATCAGAAGCAAATGAATGTCTGTATTTGAGAAATCATATTTACTAAATATATTTTATTTTAAGAAAATGATCTGATGAAATTGATCATAAATAGTAAATATTTTAATGATATACCTGTTAAGCATTGTAAAATTGACTTCATTTTTTGATCAAGTTTTTTTTTTTTTGTATCTTTCCCTATACTTCTTTTATGTTTTATTGTCATTTATTGTTTGTATTCTTATGATTTAATTTTTGAGGGATCAGATATGCCATTACAAGTATCCTGATCTGTTGAACATTAAGCTTTTGTTCATTTTCAGGGTTTATATCACCATTGATGAGCCCATTATATAGTTTATTGAAGAGGCTTTTTGCTCTGTGCTGTCATGTGTTACAGCAGACTATATTCTCATTGTTTTCTATTTTATTTTAATAAGGAACCAGATTTTAATATGATTTAATCTAATGTGATTGAAACATTCACTAGTCTTTCACAGGATTTTTGTAGAATTCAAAATTGGAAAAGGTATCGAGATGAGCCTTAACAATTTACTTTCATTTTCCTGAGGGTTTTCCTTCCTCATTACCTCTTTAGAAAGGATAAGCTCAAGGACAGTACTGACTCTCTTTTATTTATGTATGTATGTATTTATTTATTTATTTATTTTTGTTACAGATGTTTCTCTTTTTTCTCCTATTGACACCCTCCTCCCCCTCCCTCCCCGCCCTGTGCCCAGCTTTGTTGTCCATGTCCATTGGTCATGCATACATGCATATCAGTTCTGTGGTTTATTTCCCCCCCACACACACTCTTTTCTGGGGATTGTCAGTCTGTACCCTACTTCCACGTCTCTGGGACTACCCTGTTCTTCAGACTGTTATGTTCATTTTTAAATGTAACTTTGTCAACAAAACTTAAGAGTGCTTAACAGGAACGCAAGTGAGTTGGGAATTCAGGAGTTTAAAGATTAAATGAAGGGTTTGAACACAGTGCTTACCTGTATCCCATTAGGATTGGGGGCTAATTATGTTATTAAAAACAAAATGCACAGTATAAATTTCCTAAGACAGGTGACTACTTAGCTACCTTCTACATTTTATGAACTGGTTGTCAACAAAGCACCTCAGTTAACGAGCCTTCTGATAATAAACACATATTCTCATGCCTCCTATAAGTGGAAAAGTCTCCCATGTTGCGTATATAGGAGACTATATACTGATTGAAGCTAACTGATTGAAAACTATTTAAAGGACACTTGTTTAGTATCAAAATAAATGATCAGGAAAAACTCTTCCATATTCTTTAGGGATATTAGGATCTGAAAATAAAACTGCCCTAACCAAGATAATCCATGACATTCTACCTTAAAGCTTTGAAACAGAAGTCTCATTATCCATGTGAGATGACTGATAATTGTGCATTTACAGAAGTTCTTTATGTATGTGGTCTTGCTATACCAAGAAGCTACACTGACACGTGTGCCAATCATTTCCTTGCAATATATACCTGTTGTTTTTAAACTGTCTCAAAGTAGCTGATCTGATCCTAGCAACCTGGTTCCATTCTACTTTATCAGTTATCTTGTTTGTTTGTTTTTCTCACAGGTTGAGGATATCTACAAATCTCTTACCAGTTTGTCACAAGAAGAAAAGATAACCAAATTGTTAATGCTTAAACTTCGATATTTCACTCCTAAAGAAATAGCAAATCTCCTTGGATTTCCTCCAGAGTTTGGTATGTGGGGTACACACAGACCTCATCTTTCATTTATTAAAGATTCCAAAATTCATTAGGGACTCATATTTGTATTTTATGAAGCAATTCTTGCTCAGACAGATGGATGTGTTAAACCTTTTTTCTTTTCTGATTGTGCAATTATTGAAATTTTTCTTTCCTTGTCTTTCCATGTTCATTTATAACCTGCTTCAGACCATTCCCTTCAGACTTCATTCTCCCTCTCCTTTGACTACAGTAATGGTCCTGAGCGATTTTTAGGGACAGAGAGCCAGATCAGCAATTCATCCCCTCTCCCTGTGGATGGGTGTTAACAATGCCTCTTTCTTCAGCTTATGTTCTTGCTTTCAGAGGTCCTATTCCAATAACCCCACACTAGATTGTTTGAATGAATGCTTGGAATTGTCTTTTTTATGAAGAAATTAAAAGAACGTTGAGGAATTTTATTATATTTGTGTGAGGGGGTTATTCTCCTTGAAGATACCTTCTTATTAATTATGCACCTTTGTCCTTCCCCACAGAGTTTTCGTAGGGAAAAGAGAAGGTGGAGAAGTGGTCTAGGAAGGAGCGGCCCTAATGGAAAGAAAGGGTGACTCAGGAGCACAGAGGCCAGAACTGATGAGATTTAGGGGATCTGAAGCAGGGCATCTCAAGAACAGCACAACATAGATACAGCTGTAGAGTGAGCCAAAGTCCTCGCTTTCTGCAGCCCAAGAGTTCCAGGGGGAGTTGCCATTACGAGATGAGACACATTGCCTTTGCTTCTTAGAACAGCCCGCCCTCTCCCCGAGCCCACTTCCTTGGCGCCCGTGCTCTTGCCTGGGAGGTGCCTTGTCCTAGGCTGGGTGGGTGTGTTCCCAGCCCCTGGCTCAGAGAAGGGGAAGGACAGACCTCCTTATCATGCTCCGGGGGCTACACAAGACAGGAATGTGTTTTCTATAACTCTGGAGTTTGAATTCAGAAAAGCCAAACTGCTAAATCCAGTAGTGTTGTGATAGTAATACAGTACTATTTTTGAAGCAACATAATGGGCTAAATGGATCATGTTTTAAATTGTAAATAATAGATTTACAGATGACGTTTTAGAACACATCCTTTGTACAGTGGGAACAAACCGCTAATATGACTTGACTACCCTCTTGGTAATTGATTCTCTGAGTGTGGTCACAGCAACCAGCTTTATTTTGTGCTCTGCCTTTTTCTCGGTGATTTCATTCAGTCACAGATATCCTGGGAAGTTTTATTTAAGAAAAACACAGACTTTGCTTATCTTAGTTTACATCACAAGATGAGAACATCATAAAACAAACAAAGAGCTGAGAATTAAACTCAAAAATTTAATTCCCAGTCTTCTTTCCTTGTTATTTTTTTTCCTTTTTTAGAATGAGCAATCAAAGGTACTTCAATAGTACTTTCAAATTGTACTTTGAAGAGAGAAAAGTGATTTACTGTCTAACAACAACTAATTTATAAGTTTTATTTGAGTGCTTTTTCAAGTATTAGTCATCACTTTCATTATATTGAAACTAAGCGTGGACCCCAGAGTCAGACTGAGTGAGTTTGAATCCTAGCTCTACCTTAACCACACTCTGCCTTAGTGTATGCCTCTATAAAATGGAGATAGTGCAGCACCAAATTCATAAGGTTGACTTGAGACAAGTTAGTATACGTAAAATATTCACACACTGACACACAATTCAAAATTTAAGTGTCAGCTTTTATCTTGTAAATCATGAACAGTTATTCATTTTTATAGCCTTTACTTTATAAATATTTTCCTCATTATTTAAAAATTTTAGATAGATGAAATAGGATTTTTCATAGCTCTCTGAAAATATGTATAAGAAAACCTTTTCATTGGTTAACCCTCTTTTAAAATATGTAATCTGTATAGTCAAACTTGCCCTGATATCACCACAGAGCAGCCTCCGACGGACTGTCCTTCACGTGTACTTTTGACATTATTGACTCTAGGTCCAAAATAGGCATTGTTTGAGCTGCCTGTCCACTGACAATGATGGATTTGCATTGATTTTTCCGTTCATTTTTCCTGGTTCCCCTTGTGGCTAGTGGCATGCCTTTGTGAGACAGCAGGCTTTGGAAGAGAGAAACACTCACCACCTACTGAATGAAAGCTGCTATCTTGACCTCATTGATTCTGTTTTTTTGTTTGTTTGTTTATGAGGATTATTATTGTTTTGTATGTTATGTACTTTTTTTAATCTTTATTGCTGAAAGTATTATAAATATCCCCCCGTCCCCCCTTTTCCTCCCATAGATCTCTTCCCCTCTGCTCCCCCCATCCCCACCTTCATCACACAATTGTCTGTGTCCATTGGTTATGTATATATGCATCTAAATTCTTTGGTTTATCTCTTCCCACCCCACCTCCCCAACTTCCCTCTGAGGTTCCTAAGTTTTTAAAAAGCCACCTTTTTAAAAATTATGTAATTTTTTCATAAGCTAGTTTAGATTTTAGTATCTATATTTATATATAAAATACACGTATATAATTTTTACAAATCTGACTTGTTTTTACATTTTTCCTTTTCTCTGATTTAATCTTAATATTGCAAAAGATTATCCTTATGATATTTTAAAAGTCTGTTTGTAGATATAATTGTACCTCTGGCTACTTTGAATTTACTAATTTTCGAGATGACTAATACACTTGCATAAGACATGTTATCTTTATAATAGCAATTTTATGATCATGCTCAATTGCAAATATAGTTTTATTATGGCAATCATGTTATTTTATTGTAGTAAGTATAATGCCAAGTGTTGATGAAGACACTTTATCCTAATCAACTCTACCTTTTGGTCCTCACAAGTATATGAAATTTTGCTATTCTTAATGCTCTTCCATTCCTTCATTTTATTATCTAACTTGCTTTTACATATATATATAATTGCTATGCTAAAGTATACTGAATGTGAATTTCTAACATTGTAACTAACATTATGTTCTGCACTCTGAGCACAGGCATCTTTTATGTTGAAACTCACACGGCTTTGTTCCTGCAAATGCAGTATCTGTGGCCCATTTTGTTTTGAAAAAGAATGTAGCAAATTAGAAATTCAGCATGAGAAAGTCAATTTGTAGAAGCAGAATATAAAAACAACAGTGAGGAACTCATATCCAGAATAACTAAAGAACTCTTACAATTCAACAATAAAAAGAAAAATAATCAGAGTTAAAAATGGGAAAAGGATTTGATTAGACATTTCTCTGAAGAAAATAGACAAATGGCCAATAAGCACATGAAAAGATGTTCAACAGCATTAGTTATGAGGGAAATGTAAGTCCAAACCACAAAACGTCAAATGATACCAATGTTTAAAAAAAAGGTGAAGAAATCAGATCCTTTGTATAGTGCTGATGAAAATATCAAATGGTACAGCCGCTTTGGAAAAACAGCCTGGCAGTTCCCCAGATGTTAAGCATGGAGTTTTTGTTTGACCCAGCAATTTCACCCCTAGGTATACATCCAAGAGAATGAAAAATGAACGTCCATGCAAAAACTTATACTTAATGTTAATAATAGCATTATTCATAATAATCAAAAAGTAGAAACAACCCAGACTTCTATCAATGGATGAATGGATAAATAAAATGCAGTATATCCATACAATAGAATATTATTTGGCCATACAGAGGAATGAAGTATTAGTACATTCTGTGACATAAATGAACCTTGAAAACATTATGCTGAGTGAAAGAAGCGAGAAACGAAAGCGGCATGTTGTATGGTTCCAATTATATGAAATGTTCAGAATGTCCATAGAGACAGAAAGTAGATTACTGGCTAAAGGGCAGGGAGGGGAAATGGTGAGTGACAGCTAGTGGGTATGGGCTTTTAAAAAAAATTGAGGTGTAATTGATATATAATAGTGTGTCAGTTTCAGGTGTACAATAGTGATTGGTTATTTGTATACACTGTGAATTGGTCACCACAATAAGGCTAGTTAACATTTGCCACCATAGTTACAATTTTGTGTGTGTGTGTGTGTGTGTTTGTGTGTGATGAGGACTTAAGGTGTGCCCTCTTAGCTTTCAAATATGGAATACAGTATTACTGTTTTTTAAAATTTATCATTATTGTTGAAAGTATTACAGATGTCCCTCCTTTTTTCCCCCATTGACCCTCCTTCCTCCTTGTTCTGCCCCCACTTCAAACAAGATTGAACTAGGGTTGCTCTGCTTTTCTAAAAAAATATGTTTTTATTGATTTTTTTAGAGAGAGAGATAGAAACATTGATGTGAGAGAAACACATCATTTGGCTGCCTCCTGCACCCCTCCCCCACACTGGGGATCGAGCCTGCAACCCAGGTATGTGCTCTGACCGGGAATCGAACCAAGACTTTCAGTCCATGGACACCCTCAGTCCACAGCCACATAAGCAGTCATGCTTCTTAAACACACATATGAGGTAGATACTATCTCTTTTTTCAGATAAGAAAATACTGGGTTTGAAAAGTTAAGTGCCCTACCTAGCAGAGCTGAGATTCAACTGTAATCCTTCATTTTTATTTCATTTATTTTTAATTAAATTTATTGGGGTCTGATCATGAACAAAATAAACTGATGACCAAAGTAGATCCAGAGACACTGAAGCAGTGAACAGACTGATGAACCTCAGAGGGAAGCGGGAGGGGGCTCAGGAAGAGATATACCAAAGAACTTACATGCATAAGCCAAAGACACAAACAATAGTGTGATGGAATACAGTATTATTAACTGTAGTCACCATACTGTACATTACATCTTCATAACTTATTTTATAGCTGGAATTTTGTACTCTTTTATTCTCACCCGAGGACATTTTTCCATTTTTGTTCAGATAGAGTGGGAGGGAGAGAGAGAGAGAAACATCAACGTGAAAGGGACACATCCAGTGGCTGCCACCCGCACGACCCAACCAGGGCTGGGGACAAACTGTAACCGAGGTACGTGCCCCCAGCGGGAACCGAACCCGGGTCTCTCTGGACCGCAAGCCAATGGACACTCTAACTGCTGAGCCAAGGCTGGAATTTTGTACCTTTTCATCCCCTTCACCCATTTTGCACCCCAACCCCTATCAATCAATCTGTTCTCTGTATCTATGAGCTTTTTTTGTCTTATTTGGTTTGGGTTTTACATTCCACATGAGTAAGATCATATAGTATTTGTCTTTCCCTGACTTACTTCAGTTAGCATAATGCTCTCACATTCCATCCCTTGTCAAAAATGCAAGTGTTCATTCTTTTTTTTTTATCACTCAATAGTATTCTGTTGTATATATCGTATATAGGACATTTTCTTTTCTATTCATTTATATATGGACACTTAGGTTATTTCCATGTCTTTGTTACCATAAATAATGCTGCAGTGAACATGGAAGTGCATCTGTCTTTTCTAATTAGTGTTTTTGTTTATATTGGATAAATATACAGAAGTGAAATATACAGGAGTGAAATTACTGAATCATATGGTAGTTCTATTTTTTAATTTTTTGAGGAGGCAACATACGTTTTCCACAGTGACTTAGCCAATTTGCATTCCCATCAACCGTGTACAAGAGTTCCCTTTTGCCACAGCCTCACCAACTTGTTAGGACTTCTCTTTTTGATTACAGCCATTCTAACAGGTGTGAAGTAATATTTCATTTTAGTGTTGACTTGCATTTCCTGATGTTGGACTTTTTTCATGAGCCTGTTGGCCATCTGTATGTCTTCTTTGGAAAAATGTCTATTCAGATCTTCTGCTGGTTTTTTAATTGAATTGTTTGGTTTTTTGTTTTTGTTTTTTGCTATTGAGTTATATGAGTTCTTTATATATTTTGGGTATTAACCCATTATCAGATACCTGATTTACAAATGTTTTTTCCCATTCAGTAAGTTGCCTTTTTGTTTTGTTGATGATTTTCTTTGCTCTGCATAAGCTATTAAGTTATTGCTTTGTCTATTTTTGCCTTTGCTCTTGGAGTCATATATAAAAAAAATCATCCACAAGACCTATGTCAGGGAGCTTACACTTATGTTTTCTTCTAGGAGTTTTATGGTTTCAGGTTTTATGTTCAAGTCTTTAATCCATTTTGAGATAATTTTTGTGTGCAATGTAAGATATTCTAGTTTCATTCTTTTGCATGGGACTGTCCAATTTGTTCAGCACCAGTGATTGTAAAAACTGTCTTTTCCCCATTTTATATTCTTGCCTTCTTTGTCGTAAAGTAATTGACCACATATATATGCATGGGTTTATTTCTGCGTGCTCTATTCTGTTCCTTTGGAGTCTGTTTTTATACTAGTCCCATTCTGTTTTGATTTCTTTAGATTCCAAATGTAGTTTGAAATAAGGCAGCATGATGCTTCCAGCTTTGTTCTTTCTCAAAATTGTTTTTGCTATTTGGGTCTTTTGTGGTTCCAAATGAATTTTAGGATGTATATTCTATTTCTGTGAAAATAGCCATGGGAATTTCATTAGGTATTATGTTGAATCTGTAGATTACTTTAAGTAATATGAACATTTTAATAATATTAGTTTTTCTAATCCATGAGCATGGAATATCTTCACATTTATCTCTGTCTTCTTCAGTTTCTTTCATGAATGTGCCATAGTTTTTAGTGTACAGGTCTTTTGCCTCCTGATTGAATTTCTTCCTAAGTATTTAATTCATTTTTATGCAGTTGTAAATTGCATTGTTTTCTTTCTTTCTTTTTTTTTTTTATCCTCACCCGAGGACATTTTTTGATATTTTGTTCAGATAGAGTGGGAGGGAGAGAGAGAGAGAGAGAGAAACATTGACGTGAAAGGGACACATCGAGTGGCCGCCACCCACACGACCCAACCAGGGCCGGGGACAAACTGCAGCCAAGGTACATGCCCTTAGTGGGAACTGAACCCGGGTCTCTCTGGACTGCAGGCTGATGCTCTAACCACTGAGCGAAACCGGCCAGGGCTTGCATTGTTTTCTTAATTTCTCCTTCTGATAGTTCATTATTAGTGTATAGAAATACAGCAGGTTTTCGTATGTTGATTTTTTTTATCTGCAATTTTACTCAATTTGTTTATTCTAACCAGTTTTTGGTTGAGTTTTTGTATACAATATCATGTCATCTGCAAATAGTGATAATGTTACTTCTTCCTTTCCAAATTGGATGCCTTTATTTCTTTTTCTTGACTAATTATTCTAACAAGGAATTCCAATACTTTTGCTGAATAAAAATGGTGAGAATTACCCAGCCAGTGTGGCTCAGTGGATTGAGCTTTGACCCTTGGACTGAGAGGTCAGGGCACATGTCCAGGTTTCAGGCTCGATCACTAGTAGGCGGTGTGCAGGAGGCAGCCGATTGATGTTTCTATCTCACATCAGTGTTTCTATCTCTCCCTTCCTCTCTCTCTGAAAAATCAATAAAACCATATTAAAAATGTAACTTCCTTTAAAAAATAAAAAATGGTGGGAATGGACACCCTTGTCTTGTTCCTGATCTTAGAGGAAGATTTTCAGCATTTCACCATTGAGTATGATGTTAGCTGTGGGCTGGCTTTCTTTTTCAGAAAAGGTGATTAAAATGTTCTGGAATTAGCCCTGGCCGGTTTGGCTCAGCGGTTAGAGCGTCCACCTGCGGTCCGGAGAGACCCAGGTTCGGTTCCCGCTGAGGGCATGTACCTCGGTTGCAGTTTGTCCCCAGCCCTGGTTGGTCGTCCGGGTGGCAGCCACTCGATGTGTCCCTTTCACGTCGATGTTTCCCTCTCTCTCTTTCTTCTGTTCTCTCCCTCCCACTCTATCTGTGCAAAAAATGGAAAAATGTCCTCGGGTGAGGATTAAAAACATAAATAAAATGTTCTGGAATTAAATAATGGAGATGTAGTCAAAATTTGTGACTATACTAAAAACCACTGAATTGTACGCTTTAAAAGAGTGAATTTCATAGAATGTGAATTGTATCTCCAAAAACCTGTTATTAAATATAACAGCTATAAAATAATGGTAGCTACTGCTTTTCCTAAAGTGTACTAATATACATATTTCTAGGAATTCTGTAGATGTCATATGTATATTATGTGTGTGCACTGTGCATAATATGATATGTAATGTGATATGACAGTATCACATTGTATAAGCAATGTACTGTTACATAATATTTTTGGCTCTAAATTATCATTTGTTAATTTAACTTAGTGGAGACCTTAACAGTGGTTCTCAACCTGTGGGTCGTGACCCCTTTGGGGGTCAAACAACCCTTTCACAGGGGTCGCCTAAGACCATCAGAAAACACATATTTCCTATGGTCTTAGGAACCGAGTCATCGCTCCTCTGTCTGTCTTGAGGCGGGTCCGCCCCCATGCAGATACGCCCACATACTACATGAGGAGCTGGATTAAAGGGTCCGCAGCATTAGGAAGGTTGAGAACCACTGCCTTAGGGACTTATTTATAAAAATGAGCACTGTGCTCTTACTAAAGGATATATCGTTTTATCTTTGAAAGTTTTTATTACAAATGATTGTACTATAAAATGTTCTCTCTCTTTTCCAGGATTTCCTGAAAATATAACAGTGAAGCAGCGTTATCGTCTACTTGGAAATAGTCTCAACGTTCATGTCGTAGCTAAATTAATCAAAGTCCTGTATGGATCATTTTAAAGTGACTAAAAGATGGTTACAGTATTTCTTCATATCCAGACAGTGATTCTGAAAGTCTTATTTGAATTAATTTTGATGAACTTCAACTAAATTACCTTAATCTCTCTTTAATAAGAAATTTGAATTTATCACAAAAATGCCAATTTGTTTTCTTACATTTATATTATTGTCTTGTAAAGTGAAATTGTTATTATGCTTTAAGTGAATATATTTTCATATGAAGTTGTTAAATATATATGTGTGTGTATATATATATATATACACACACATACACATATATATAAACTTTTTATAATATGGTATAAACAAATTGAGGAACATTAAAAGTTAAAGTCTACATCAATATTTTGTAAAGTATCATCATAGGCATATTATAATGAACCTGAGAAGTTATATTTTTTGTGATAAATAAAGAAGTTGTTTTATGAATCTTGTCATTTTACTTTTTTTTGTTAGATAATTCTAATTCTAGCCTGTTTCAAATATTCAATGTTTTACGTAGTTTCAATCCCTTCAGCATTTCTTTATTTTACTTAAATGTTTATAATATTTTAAGTCAGATTATCATCATTCACCTTATACAACAGTCTGAAGAAAATTCTTGATCACCTCTTACCCTGGAAGCCAAAGAACTGTAGGTACACATTGTCTTTACTTTGCCCCCATCGGAAAGGCAAAGCTCACGTCTTCTTCATGTGTGCATGTCTCCCTTAGCTTGCTGTTACCCGAGCTTGCTTTTGTCTGTCTTCTCAGCTGCTGGTCGTAAGTTGAATTTGTCGTCACATTCCAAGGAATGTAGTGTGACATTAAGATTTTAGGCAGGAAACTCTGCCCTCTGACCCCATTCCTTCCTTATGACTATTCTGTGAATTAACTTTTAACTTTTTCTGTCTCTCCCTTTCAGTAGGCTTCTTGGAATTAGGGTTTCTAATCAGACTAAGTCTTGCATCAGAAATCCTGTGGTTTTGATTTCAGTAGTAAAATCAAGTGACAAATGGAGGGAAAACTAAAAAATATGAATGGAAATTTTATTAAAAATTTTTAATTCACATTTTTATCCTAAAAAAACATAATTTACAATGGACATAGACAACAAAGCTTGAGGAGGGGGGATAGGGAGGAAGGTGTCTGGGGGGAAAAGGAGAAACATCTGTAACAAAACAAAAAAAAAATCAATTAATAAAAGCACAGTAATTTAATGTGAAGAAATTGCAGCCCTGTTAATGGGAATGTAAAATGGCACAGCCTCTGTAGAAAATAGATGATGATTTGTTAAACAACAACAACAACATAGAATTACCATATGATCTAGCAATTTCACTTCTAGGTATTACCCAAAAAGATTGCAGGTAGGGACTTGAACAGATATTTGTACACCAGTGTTCATAGCATCATTATTCACAATAGCCAAAAAGTGGAAACAACCAAAGTGCCCATTGGCAGATGAATGGATAAACAAAATATGGTGTGTACACTTACAATGGAATATTATTCAGTCATAAAAAGGAAATTCTGACACATGCTACAACATGGATGAGCCCTGAAAATGTTATGTTTAGTGAAATAAGCCAGACATGAAAGGACAAATTTTATATTTCACTTATATGAAGTATATAAAAGAATCCAGTTCATAGAGATAGAAAGTTGAGTAGTGGTTACCAGGGTTTGGGGACCTTGGGAATGGGAGTTAGTGTTCAATGGCTGCAGAGTTTTGTTTGGTGTGGCGAAAAAGTTCTGGAGATGGATGATGGCCATAGTTTCATAATAATGTGAATGTAATTATTGCCACTGAACTGTATACTTAAAAATCATTAAAATCTCAAATTTTATGTACAGAAAAAAAACCAACAATCATGCCTGCCCCCTCACCATTTTTTTTTTTTTTTCAGAAGAACTCAGATAAATAGAGAGATAGGGCAACTGTAGGCCAATGCATACACAGGTGTGGGCAAAAGAAGATTTATAGCTGTGAGTAAGCAAAACAAAGTTTATACTTATAATAAACCTATTGTACTAATCATAACCTGCATGTCTTTTTCTATATGAAACACTGTAAACCTACTTTTACCTACCTTGTATATATTGAGTCTCACTATCTACATTTTGTATCTACAAGCGTTTAAAGACATACCTTATTACAATTTTCATAAATTTTAGTATACAACAATCTGAAATTACTTTGGCACACTTTTACTAGGTTCTCTTCACTTCTGAAAGATTTTTACTAATAAAAAAGTTCAGAGTTTTACTATGATTATGCTAAAGTTATAGTGTCCAATGCTCCATTGAGCAATGTTATGCAAAATAAGTGTTGAGCCTGGCCGGTGTGGCTCACTGGTTGAGTGTCAACCCATGCTCTAAGAGGTCCCCGGTTCGATTCCCGGTCAGAGCACATGCCCAGGTTGTGGGCTGATCCCCAGAGCAGGGCATGCAGGGGGTGGTCAATTGATGTTCTCTCTCATCTATGTCTCTATCTCTCTCTTCTCTCTCTAAAATCAATAAAGGAAAAAATGTAAAATAACACAAAGTAAGTGTTGAGTTACAGACACTACCTATAAACACATGAAAGCTCTATAGAGACATTCGTTTACAAACTAGAAGATAAAATATAGCTTTGTGAGATTTTTTAAACCATTGAAGTATTTTCATGGGCATATGGTGATTCTTGCCCTTAATTCATAATTGTAAATGTGCAGTAGCAAGCATAAGACTCATATCTTAGTTATATATATTTACATGCATAGTTATTTTAGAGATGTCATTTTATTGAATGACCAATAAGTACAGTGATATGCATAAAATTATGATGATATGCACAAAATTTGCCTGGGAAATTTTTGATATTTGGATTTTTTTATATTTATTCAATATTTTGGAAAATATATCCTCTTATTTTTTAAAAGAATTATATGTAATTAAATCTGTGTCATTTCTAATATGATTTTTTCATTCTCCTATTTGCATCACTTGTATTCTTTTAAATGGCTTCCTAAATAACTTTAAGTTATTTATTAACCTGCCTCCTATTTTTAGTAGGTTTTTCAGACTCAAAAATAATAAATAAGAAATAATCAATTGAGTTAATACAAACAAAGTTAATCATATTAGGAAATGATTTTGAAGAGATTAGGAAGTCATCATAGGAGAAAGAGCCAGAGCTTGATAAACTTTTATGATGGGGTCTCATATAGATGTTATTGTCTTACGTCAATATACTTTCACCTTCTCAGGAAACTTACATTATTATTTCTTCTCCCTCATGAATATTCAAACTTACCATCTCAATCTTCCTAGCATTTACTATGTTCAAGTCTCTTCCTTATTAAAAACAAGGACGACAGGTAGACACCTCCCTAGATTCTATCATCTTTCATTGCTTCCCTTTCATAGCTAGATCTCTTCGAGAGGTTATCTGTAACATCTTTCCTCTTAGTGCATCTCTCCTCTCACTCCTCCATCGCTCCAAGATAACTTTGGCCTTGGTCAAACTACCAAAAGAACATTTACTACCACGATCAAGGATCCCTGTGTGCCTTATCTTCCCTGACTTCCCTACAGTCAAAACTCCCTTTCTTGATCCAATTTCCCCCTTTATCCTCCATGGCATTGCACTCTTTTATTGTTTTAAATTAGTTGACCTTCAATATTATATTAGTTTCAGGTTTACAACCTAGTGATTCAACATTTATGTATCTTAATCCTTAGTGGTAAACAATAGACCCAAATGACAGACGGGGAAGTGTGAGTCACTCTGAGGGATCAGCTGATCCCCCTTCAGAGGACCCTGAACATTATATTCTGGCTAAGAAATCGGCTCTGCACAGTGGGCACTGCCCTGTGCCTTAAAGAGTGAAAAAATATCTCTACCAGCCAACTTGCTCCCCCTCACAAGACAGAGCCTTTTAAAAAGACAAAACCAGTAGTTGGAATTGTGAAAGTTGAGGGACTACCCAGCACTTAAAAATACAATAATGATGAGGGTGGTGGGTAGGATTCCTTAACAAACATCACAATGTGTCTTTTGCTCCAATTCAACCTAGTTCAGGTCAGAAGTTACTAAATCAGAGGCTTCTGAAGATAGAGAAGTGAAGCTGAGGACAAATGAAAGTGGTTTAATTGTAGCTATTGCAGTACAGAATAAAGAAGAGAACAGACTGCACCGGCCGGGCCGGTTTGGCTCAGCGGTTAGAGTGTCGACCTGTGGTCCAGAGAGACCCAGGTTCGGTTCCCACTAAGGGCATGTACCTCGGTTGCAGTTTGTCCCCAGCCCTGGTTGGGTCGTGCGGGTGGCAACCACTCAATGTGTCCCTTTCACTTCGATGTTTCTCTCTCTCTCCTTCCCCCTCCCACTCTATCTGAATAAAAAATGGAAAAATGTCCTCGGGTGAGGATAAAAAAAAAAGAAGAAGAGAACAGACTGATAGCTGTCAGGGGCAGGCTGGGGAGCTGGGTGAAAAAGGTGAAGGGATTAAGCCAAAAGAAAACCCCCCAGAAACAGTATGGTGGTTATCAGGGAAAGGAAGTGGGGGGAGGCAGTAAAGGGTAAACGGGATAAATGGTGATGGAAGGAGACTTGACTTTGGGTGGTGAACACACAACATGATACACAGATGACATATTACAGAATTGTACACTTGAAACCTATATAATTTCATCAACAAATGTCACCCAAAAAATGCAATACAAAAATTTTTTAAAGCAGCTACTGTGTCAGCCAACCTCACGCACATGCTGAATGAAGAATGCAGTGTGCAGGTCAGCTGTTGTCTGCACCAGAGTGAAATAGTTCTGGTTGCTCGTTTTGTTTTGATCACTTTACTATATAAAACCAAAAGTTAGTATCAAGAGGTTCCCAAATAAGCCAAGATAACACAATAAGGATCTAATTTTAAACCCATGTAGACAAAGTAGTTCAAGTGTGTTTTTCTGAGTTGATTATGTTATTGAAAAGGTTACTGTTCATAATTTGTTCTTCAGCTTGGAACTATGACTATTTTAGGCTACTGGTTATAAACTGACTTACAAATAACTTTGGACTTTGAAACTGAGTGAGGGTCATGTGGTCTCAGCAGTTCTTTCATAGTCTGTGATTGAACTCATTATGTAATTTTTCAAGTCAGCCT